GCTCCCCAGCAGGGAGAGCCAGAGCTGGAATTCATCAGGTTTTCCCTGCAGTGGATACACCTGCTAGCTTGCTGGACGCCAAGGATGCAGCAGTAGGAAAGCCAATAGACACCAGGCCTGAGAAACGAAGCTAAGCTTTTGCTTAGAGAATTGTTCCAGCTTTTAGCCGAGTGCTGGCACTTTGCCCAGTATGTCCTTTTTTGAAAGAACAAGAGGAGGAGGAGGAATTCCCAGGATCCTGAGCAAAGGATGAGAGAGACAACTGTTAAGGTACCGCTGCTCTGGGTGTTAGTGTGAGGAGGGGTAGGGCTGCAGTCTGTATGGCGGACTGCTCTGGCTGCGGGTTTCCCAGCTACCTCATCTGGAGATTGCTGTGGCTCCAAACAGCCTTCTCTTTTTACAAAACCTGTCCGCAGTAGTGGTGAGAGCTAAGCACAGAAGCTGCTGTCCAGTGGGAAGGATTCTTCTAGAGTCCGATGCCCAAACAGGTTTTAGTTTGCCTTCTCCCTCCTTTGAAACCCCAGGTTTCCAGGTGACTGGGGCAGCTGGTGAAGTGGACTGTGTGTGTGACTCAGCCAGGTTTCCTGAACCAGCCTGGCCTTGGTGAGCTGAGCTGCAGCTGGAGCCAGCTGTTTACTCAGAGTGAGCAAGCAAGCCGCCCTCAACAGGCATGTGTTGTGAAGGACTTGCCTCGTTAAACAGACACTTCCCTGCTGTTGAAAAGTCTGTCGATAGTCGCTACAGCTCTGAGAGCTCGGGAGCTGGGGGAGGAGAAGGAAGCACTCATCACTCGTGGGTAGCTTAGCATCAAGTTTTCTGTCCTAAAAAAAAAAAAAAAAAAAAAGGCTGGGTTTTATCAGCTTCATGCAGGCAGGGTGGAAAAGGCAGACTGTGGTGGGTGGAGCAGCTTACGCACATACCGTTTATTAATATGTAATTACTGCACGGAGACAAGAAGACTGGGAACGTGGTTTGCTTGGTCTCCTTAGTGCTGTTGGTGGTGCGCACTGTTCACTGGGTGAAACCAAACCATCAATCCCAAGTTGTTTACTGCATGGGAAAAAGGGTCCTCCAGGCCTGTTGGGAGCAGCTCTGGACAACCTTCCCCAGTGCGCTGGACCTCTGCTTTGGTGTAATGAAAACTCTCCTATAGTTCTTGCTGTCCTCAGTACTTAAAGAAACAAAGCAATTGTGACAGCTGCATTGAAACACAATTCTTCCTTTAAACTAATGCACAGCAAAAACCATTATTTGGGCAGGTCATGTAGGTTTAAGCTGATTCACGCGGCCTTCTGAGTTGTCCGTGAACATCCTTCTAAGGGAAGTGTAGTATCTTCTCACCAGATGTGAGAAGGGAGGACCTATTACCTGCTTCCCTTTTCCACCAAATGGTACTGAACATGGAAATAGTTTGTATCCTCTTGCTCTCTTCCAAAACACCTTCTGTAGATTGTGTGTAATGCCTTCATGTGGAGGTTACTGGTCATGTCAGAAGATTAAGTGGACAAAATTCATGGCTGTAAATATTAAGACTGGAACCAAGTAGCATATATAAGCTTCCCTCCGGAGAGGGGGTTGGTTAGCCTAGTTCTGTAATAGGCATTTTTTCGAACTTCCAGATAACTTTCCTTCTTGTCCTTCACTTTTGGTAGGATTGAAAGCTCTGAGACGAGAAACTGGGAAGCCTCATATGCTGCAGTATGCTTTAAGAGGGACTTGGAAGCAGCTTTCAGGAAGTGCTGAGATGTAGAAGCTTACTTAGAATTCTTAAGGCTGTTATTGAATTCATAACACTGCCAGATTTCCTGAGCTAGAACGGTCTGTGCGCTTTGCTGGGGCTGTCTCAGTGGCTGATCTTTAAGGAGAACTTTTAATGCTGAGGTCAAGTTTGTCTATACAAGAAGAGGAAATTCTTTCAAAATGTTCACTCACTGCTTTTATGTACTTCCTTCTTTTCCATTGCTTTGCAGTCTGAGGTATCAAGTACTTTTTTTTTTTTTTGAGCTGCAGAAGACAGATTATTTATTAATAGCTCCTGGTATATCATGTGATTTGCATCAGTAGGACTGTGTTGCAAAGGTTTTCTGAGAATTCCTGGTGAGGTCTCTGATTGTGTAAAATCCTGGAAACTAGCTCCTGCTACCGCACTGGGCTAGGAGCAGAACTACAGAGAAGAACAACATAAACTTGTGTGAACTTGTGGTAGGTCTCAGTGCAGAGCTGCTTCGCTGTGTCTGGGAGTAGACAATGTTATGTTCCCTGGTAAAGATTGTAGTGGGTGGGATTGGTCAGTGTTGGGTGCAGTTTGGCAGTAGTCTTCCTTTTTCTTTCTTTTCCCAAAATTCCAATTCCTTACCTTGATGTGTTCACTTCAGTGTCTCGCTGTTCCCTAGTGCTGCACCGATATCGACACATCTTGGGATTATGGCAGCCGGACATTGGGCCCTATGGGGGACTGCTGAATGTGGTGGTAAGTGAGGACTTCCTTCTAAGAGCTGAGATGTAGAGGACTGATTAGTCTTTTATATGCCCCTTTCTAGGACTTGTTGCCCTTCTGCCATTTGTTGAAGTTGGCATTCACTGCATGGCCTTAAGAAGCCTGAACAGGCAACCCTCAAGCAAGTAATTGGGAGACAAGGCTTGCTTTTTGCATCCTGTCATCATCACTGGCTTTCTCCAGATAGTCCTTCCTTGTTTGTGTGCCCCTGTGGCCCTTTGGAATGCAGCTGTAAAACAGGGAGAGAAAAGAGAAAAACACTTCGGAGCAAGGCTTGATTGAGAGTTAACACTGGCTTTCCAGTGGCTAGCACAGGAGTCTGTTCCTTGTGCGTTAACTACAGAAGAGGTTTCAGCACTGGCCCTTCACTTACTGCATGAGCTTTGTTTGCAACTGAACGCTTTGCAGAGGTCCGCGCGCTTGTGTTCCTGCGCCTCTGTCTTTTCTGTAGTTTGCCATACTTTCCACCAACGGTGCCTGAAGACTAACACGTGAGATGTGGAGATGGTGATATATGGGTAGTGCAAGACCCATGGAGTCTGCTAGCCCTTTTGCTGCTGGGGAGAGCAGTTAATGAACAACACTTGTCTCTGGATTGTTGCGAGCTGGACAAGAAGTTTGCCTGAAGCCCTTATTCTTTGCCTCAAGGCTCATTAGCTGGCAGGTTAACTGTAACAAATCACTAGGGCCAGCGTAGCTCTGGCCTTCCAGTTTTGCAAAAATCTTTTCCATAAACTGGTGTAAGTGCATCTTGTTGCACCAATGCTTATTCAATATGGTTAGCTTATGAAGAAAAGCGTTTCTCTCTGTGATACTGGTCTGCTTTTGTCTCAGATGTCTCCATTTAGACGATGCTTCTCTTTCTGGGATTTGAGGGCTTGAGGTGAAGGATTTAATTAGGTATGCAGGAAGAGGGCTGGCACTTGTGCCTCTCAGCAGAGGGGACTGCTGCCGCCTTTGCTGTCTGGGGGTAATAGAGCAAAATGATTCCTTGTCCAAAAGGCATAGATTACTGTGAGGGAGCAGAACTCCTCCGTTTGAGTATCTGCCAGCATGAGCTCTCAAACCAATTAGAGCCTGACTAGCTTCAGTGCAGTCTCTCCCTCCAGAGCCTGCCCACCAAGCATCCGGCACAAAGTCCTTTGCAGTAATAGGGGCCTGATTGTTTTCACATGATGCAAAAAGCCTCATAAAGAAACCGTCTCTCTTTTCACTGAGGATGTGCTGTGAGTGCATATGGTGTGGTTTAGTTGCTGGAAAGCAATTTGGAAGTGCAGCAAGCTGTTGTACGGCCCGTACCCTGTGGCAGAAAAGGTGCAGGAGCTGCTTGCTGCAGACTCGATAGAAAGTGCGTAAGGCTAATCTTGTTTGCTCTCTCTTCTACCCCTGTGCAGGTAGATGGTTTGTTCATCATCGGGTGGATGTACTTGCCCCCTCATGACCCTCATGTTGATGATCCAATGAGATTCAAACCTCTCTTCAGGATTCACCTCATGGAGAGGAAATGTGCCACAGTTGAGTGTATGTATGGCCACAAGGGACCTCACAATGGCCATATCCAGGTGAGCTCCCCTGACACTTTCCACGTTTTTTCCTTCAGGTGTCCAAGATGCAGTGTATTTGTGTGCATGCACGTTGGCTCGGGAAGTGGGCTCCACAAAAAACTGTATTTAAGGATATGACTGCCACCACCCTGTGATATATGTGGACGCCAGATTTACCCCCATGGTGCGTCTGACAAGTTGTGTGGCCTGTTCCCTGCTCTGTATTTATTCACTGGCAATTGTACAGCAAGGCTTTGTGTTATACTCTCTTTTGCTGGGCTAGGTAGCTCAGGGTGGAAGTGCCAGTGTGTGTACAGGTTGGGGGAGAGGGTATATAAAATGGCCTTAGGCAGCTGCTGATCATGTCTGAGCAGACACGCAGACCTGTTCTATTTTCTAGCTGTCTCTAAGATGAGAGCTTGAGAAGGAGACTTAGCATCATTCATTCAATATACGGGATGCTGTGCAAAGCTTCCTGAGGGGTTGTTTCTTCCTTCTTGAGGTAGGAAGCTCAACTGGAGAAGAAGCAACTTGAATTTAGAATCCTCCATTAGAAAGTGTTGGGTTTTTTTTACTGCCTTTATTCCTCTGTCCTGCAGCTGAGGCACTCGCTATGGCTTGATGATTTCTCTGTTGTGGCAAATGCAGTAATACTTATGTTAGCCCGTTGTTTTAAGCAGTCTTGCTTACGTTGTCCATGTCATCTCTGATCAGACCTGTAACCGGTTAATTTCTCCTCCATATAACCTGCAGATTGTAAAGAAGGATGAGTTCTCCACAAAATGCAACCAGACAGATCACCATCGAATGTCAGGGGGAAGGCAAGAGGTAAGAATGCTTTGTTAGCAGCCTGGCTTACGGCTGCTTATGTGCTCCCTTTCTGAAGATGCAGCATTACTGCCTTGTCTAAGATCTTACCTAAGAGATGGCCCTCCAGGTTCCAGTTTCTGTAGTTCTGAACATACTTAACAACTGAAGATGGTGGTCTCTGGCTCTTTAACTCAGATCTCTTTTTGGGTGGGTAGAAATGATTTGTGGCTTGAATCAAAACTTAAGGTGGCTACCTCTTTATGCCTGCTGAAGGCTAACTGCATGTCACGTTTGGCTCAGCAGCTTTGCTATTTAAGGCGCGTTCACAAACAAGCTGTTAGAGACTTTGCAGGATCCTGAGGAACCTCTTCTGCTGTTTGCCAAGGTGTTGTTTAAGGATCCAGTATATGGGATCAGTTCAGTGTTGCAGCTGCAGAACGTCTGGGTGGAGACCTTGTGCCTAACCTCAGTGCACAGCAGGTGTCTGAGCAGGCTGTGATGTCCATCCATCCTTTTGAGCAAAAAGCGGTTTCAGGCAATTGTCGCTGGCAAGGTGCTATTTTCCCTCGGTATGGAGGTGCTTGATTGTAAGCATCCTTGTTCTTCCTGTTCCAGGACACCTTTCACATTTGACAGCGGACCTGTCTATGGAAAGATAGCAGCATGCATTGTACTCCATTCAGCACTCGCCAGGCCCTGATCTCTGTCACTGCTGTCTGTATAAACAAAGTCTTTCAGACACAGGCCTAACATTGAGTACCAGCTGCACTTGAATGCCTAGTTGGCAGCAAGGACCTTGCTGCTGCTTGTCTGTTTGGCCAAAGTATTAATCACAGAATCACAGAATCGTTTAGGTTGGAAGGGACCTCTGGAGATCATCTAGTCCAACCTCCCTGCTCCAGCAGGGACCTCTAGAGCATATTGCCCAGGATCACATCCAGATGGTTTTTGAATATCTCCAGGGAAGGAGACTCCACTACCTCTCTGGGCAACCTGTTCCAATGCTCTGTCACCCTCACAGTGAAGAAGTTTTTTCTCAGGTTTAGGTGGAACTTCCTGTGGTTCAGTTTGTGCCCGTTGCCTCTTGTCCTGTTGCTGGGCACCACGGAGAAGAGATTGGCCTCATCCTGTTGACACTCCCCCTTCAGATACTTATACACGTTTATATATTAGAAGCTGCATTCGGTTGTTTATCCTGTATCTGCAGTATCTCAGCTATGGCCAGCAAAGCAGATTCCTAACTCAAACTGCATGTTTTTAAGATGCAGGTATGAATGTCAAGACAGAAGCTTTCAGCTAATAGCTCTTCCAGGTAGTGACGGTTGCTGCCAGGAGCTCAGCTGGCTTACACGTGACAAATCTGATACTTCAGTCGCTTCTAACCAAAGCTTTAAAATGTCTGTCTACTAATGGGGAAACAGCTGGGTGAAAGGTTTAGTTAAGTGTTTTCTGGTTCTATAGCAGATGAGAAATGCTTTAATACTTTCAAAGCACTATGTTAAATGTGTGTGGTATTATGGTAATTGGAGGATCTGGCTTTAGAAGATAAAGAAAGCGGGTTTGTAATACCACTTGGTAGGCTGCTATCTTAGAGTAAGCTGTTATCGTGCTAACTCATGTTCGAGTATTAACTTGTCAGAGCTGGTGTAGAGGTATGTCAGGAGACGTTTTCAAAGCGCCCTTTGGATTTAGATGCATCCATGTTTAAGTGAGCAGGATTTAACCTCCTCAATCTTTAGTGCTTTTGAAAAGCTTCCCCTTTTATGTTTAACATGCCAGGATAGGGCACAGGAGTCAGCTCATGGGCACCCAGACAAATTACTGCAAGGTAAGTCAGGACACAAACAGTAGGTCAGCTACTTTGAAGTAGCAGCTGAGGCTTATGCTTTTATTCTGAGGAGGCGTGATGGTTTCACCCATTATTTCTTTGAAGCAAAGTGCACGTTTATTGTGTGGTACCTTGCAGGTGTATGGCAGTTACCATGATGACTGCTGCTTGTTAAGCTTGTTTTTAGGTCAGCTCTGTAGCAAAGTGTGTTTGTTCCCAAATCTAGCTTCAGGCCACTGTCTGACAGAGCATATAATATCTGTTTGGCTCCACTAGTGAATTTGGTTGACGTGGTGAAGTCGTGCTGGACTACCATCACTGTTGCGAATGAAACAACTCTAGCTTCACTCTTGTCTCTTCTGCTTCTACTGCAGGAATTCCGGACATGGCTGAGGGAAGAGTGGGGTCGGACTCTGGAAGACATCTTCCACGAACACATGCAAGAGCTCATCTTGATGAAGTTCATCTACACCAGCCAATATGAGTAAGGGCACCAGCTCTTTCTAGGTATTGAGGCTGCTGCAACTTCAAGAGCACATTGGATCATTTGTTCTGATAACATGATGCTTTCTCGTAATGAGCTTTAACAGAACAGGCAGAGCACGGTTACTTTGTTCAGGTTCTGCTGTGGCAGGCTCTGTGCAAATATACAGTGAAGTACAGTCCTTTCCAACTATACAGAGAAATACGATGAAATGAAAGCAGTAATGATAGTGTTCCAGGTTCTTTAGAATAGCTTTATGCACAGTAAGATGGTTTTGAGTCATTTAACTGTGTTTAGTTTGAAGATGGCGTGACTATCCCTGATCCCGTGGAGCTATGTGCTTATTATCCGTATTAGTAAGCAATATGCTTTGTACTGCACAACACAGAAATTACAGTGTCCCTGAGAAGTTGTTTTTTAACTGCCGCTCCAAACTTCTAATAGGAGCTACCTCGTTGTAGCAGGTGTTTAAATATGCTTTGCTTTTGGGTTCCCCAGAAATCTCAGGGAGTCGGGAGGTTTACTGCGACCTTGCTGCAGAACCTCCTGCTGTGTTAATAAGGACTGGCAGAGAGAAAAAGAGGAGGGAGGAATAGATGAGGGGGGAGTGTTTGCATAGATCTGAAGCAAAAAGTGTTGCACTTGTTGGCATGGCTGAAATCACAGATCCAGCCCTTCTCTCGATGATGACCCAAAGTGACCTGGAAAAGCGGACTGTAAACACATTCTTCGTGTGCAGGGGTTCTCTTTTAACCTCCCTGGCCTCCTTTTTTTGCGTAGCAACTGCTTGACATATCGACGCATCTACCTCCCTCCTAGCAGCCCTGACGACCTTATAAAGCCAGGTCTCTTCAAAGGAACATATGGGAGCCATGGGCTGGAGATCGTCATGCTGAGCTTTCACGGAAGGAAAGCCAAGGGGACTAAAATCACCGTGAGTGCATTTTCCTTTCTCTCTTGGCTGCCAATTAAAGTTTCCTCTCCTTGATGCTGTGGATCCATAGGAGACAGTTATCTGCCTGGGAGGTTGTTGCCACCCTAAAGCCTGTTCCTCGTGGAGACTGGTGGCATCAGGTGAATTTTAATATATGCAGAGTAGCTAGAACCTGCTCTGCAGAGTTTTCTCATGACTCTACCCATTTCTCCCTTCCTTTCTCTCCCTGCTGGCTGCTTTCTGAGAGCAGCTGTTAGCAGGTCCCTAAAGATCATAGGCATCTGTGGAGCAGGTACCAAACTTTTGCAGCTCTTAACTGAAAGCAGGCTAGTGACCTCATCCCTCCCTGCAGGAAGGGATCCTGATGAAATGCAGTTGTGGCTATGACTTTGTCCTTCACCCTTGCAAGCACAACCTGGCTAATAGCATTCAATTAAAATTCTGTTTCCAGGAGGGGGGATGCAGGAGTGACATAGGTAGCTCAGGGAGCAATGAGCAAGGTCTGAGATTTTTAATTGTCAGCTCTGTGGTTGTAGGATGGGAGGGAACTGTGTAGAAAAGCTTGTCTTTGTCAGATGATAGACATGGGGAGGATGCAGGTATGAACTTTGCAGGACCCTGCCTCTGCAATCATGGGTGGTGTTCCCTGTCTTTAGGGCGATCCCAACATCCCAGCTGGGCAGCAGACTGTGGAGATCGACCTGGCACATCCTCTTCAGTTACCTGACATTGAGAACCTACGTGATTTTAGTGAGCTCTCTCGCATCGTCCTTGAGGTCCAGGAGCAGGTGCGCCGGGAGGAGCAGGAGGAGGAACAGCAGCAGGAGGAAGAGGATCGTTCCCAGCAAGCTGCCTCCCAGCCCACTGTGCAGCCCCTGGGAGGAGAAGGTGCCAAGGGGGAAGAGACTCCAGCTGGAGCTGAAGGGGCGAGCCAGGACAAGGCATCAGCTTCCCAGCCCTTCCTGCTGCCTATGGGAGTCATATCAAGGAATGAAGACTATCCTAGGACCTGCCGAATTTGGTAACAGAGACTGGTGGTTTTTAAAGCCTAGTCATTCCGGTTACTTTTTGAAACCAAAAAGGGAGTCTTTGAGGCACGTGCTGTATTTGCTTGTCCTTTACCTGCATGCAGATCTCCCAGCCCCCTCTTGCACCCAGATTCTCTTCCTTTGCTGCCCTATCTTCCATGCTCTTGTTTGTGCCCTCCGTCGTTTCCCAGCATGCTGTCATCTGCCATCCTGCTTCCTTGGCAAATTTTATCCTGTTATGTCTAAATCCAGTACAACCTCTTCTGTGTGTGTGTGTGTTTTTTGTTTTTTGTTTGGGGGTCTCTTCAAGCTGCTTCCTGTTATGTGTCTCATATGTGTTTTTGGCTGTGGGAACATAGTGCTTTCTCCCATCCCTCCCTGGCCTCTGGTGCCTTGAGACCAACTCTGGAAGGTGCTGAGCACCCTAAGGAGAAAGTGCAAGGATGCAGAGAACCTTGCGGAATTGGACCTGGAGTGAAGAGGCAACTCACTAAATGAGGTGTGGAAAAATAGCCCAAAAGCTGAGGCTTAGGCAAGTGATCTTCAGCCAAAAACCTGTGCTCCATGGAAAAATAGCTGGTTAATCCCAAAAGGCTGCTGCTGTTGCAACCAAGCTATTTTTGAATAAAACCCTGCTCCACCTGCTGCATACTTGGAGGTTAGGCTGACCTTTACTCATCCCCAGCTCCATTTAGATTCTTCTTTTTTTAGTTTAGTTTTTTTTTTTTTCTTCCTTCTCCCTTCCCCTGGTTTTTGTCACAAGGTTTGCCTCTCTGGTCACTCTCTCCATATGCATTTTTTTCCTATAAGGATTGTCAGATGTGGGCTGATCCTGCAGTTGCAGAGGTAAATCTCAGCTTGATTACTGGGTGAAACTGTAGAGAATTTCAGCTTTAGTGCGCAGGTGTTAATTTTTAGAATACCCAAAAGCAGCAGGCTCCTTGAAGGCACAGGTAAAAGTACATAGCAATGGATAGTTTCTCTTAAAATAGTAGCAGTGGTGTTTTGTCATAAGAACGGACTGAACGTAAAGCTCCCTGTTCTGTAGTGCCTGACAGCATGTTTGAGGATGGCTTGATTATAATTTTTTTTTTTTTAATGAAATGTCAGGTAGGTAGGATTCTTCTCACATTTTTCTTGCTATTCCTTTCTCCCTGCAGTTTTTATGGGACGGGGCTGATTGCTGGCCATGGCTTCACCAGCCCTGAGCGAACACCAGGTGTTTTTGTCCTCTTTGATGATGACCGTTTTGGGTTCATTTGGTTGGAGCTGAAGTCCTTCAGTCTCTACAGCCGGATCAAGGTCTCATTCCAGAATGCCGAAGCGCCTTCCCGTGAGGCTTTTGACGAAATGCTGAAGAACATTCAGTCGCTGGCTACTTGACGGGTGATTTGTGATGGATAGGGCTAGGGGTGGCAAAGGCTGCTGCACTCCCCAGCCAGGGATGGGATGGGGATTCCTTGCTCTTGGTACCTCTGAGTAAAAGCATGCACTTTTAATAAAGCCTTTTTACCCGAAATGTACACATCCCTGTTAAAATATTCATGACTGCCCTTTCCTCCCTGCCTCCTCACGTTGCTCCCTGGCAGTCATTGTTATCCAGTCTGTAACATAGCTTTATATAGCTGAAGGGATCCTGCAGAGGAGGAAATAGAGCTTTCTTATTGCAAAAAGGATGTATTGGAACAAAAATAATTCAAGGCCAGAGCTAGATCAGGAGAGTCACTAATTGACTGAACTGATGGAAGCCCTCTGCTCCGTCCATTAGCAGTCTGTCTCCCATGGAAAGGGACCTTCCTTGGGGAAGGGACTCATTTAAGCTTTTGCTGAGCTCCAGGCCAATTTGTCCTCCTAGGAGACTTGCTTTTCTCTCCTGAAAACCTGTGTGGCTTCCCCACTGCAGACTGGCTGGCTGCTCAATGATTGATTGTGTCAGAAGTGACAAAGCATGTCCTCCTCTCCAGAAACCTTTCTCTGGGTGCAGCATTGCCCAGAGAGGCTGGTGTAATACCTGCGTCCTTGACTTAAAATTGGACTGGGTGATTTCCTTTAACAAATTCTCTCCTCTTGGCAACAAGGGGAGGATTCTTACTGTAATGACAGTGTACATAGCTGTGCCCTGGCTTCAGAAGCTTGGTGTCTGTGCTGTCCCTGGGGCTCCGGATCTGGGTCTTTTCCCTGGGCGTAGAGGAGATAATGATCCTTTGTTAAAGGAGCTGGGTACAGAACTGGGAATGAGTGTAAAGTGCATAAGCTGGTGCATTCTGAACTGGTTTCATACCTGAAGGGTTCCTTCAGACCTTTTGAAATGGGCTTAAAAGCATTAAAAAAAAAAAAGAAAAAACCCTGACTGAAGCCCGTATGCAGCCTGATGGCTCCTGCCTGCGATGGGCAGCAGAAACTGGCAGCTGTCACTGGTGCTGATGTGACCTCAGTTACATGTCATTCTTGTTGCCTTGCACAGTCTGAAGGAGCATCGAGGGATTCTCTTTATGTTGCTGTGGCTCGTTCTGGCATCTTTTACGGTTGGTGCTGACAGGTGGGTGCTGCTGCTCTACTTGCAAGACCCTTCTATCCCCTTTCTAGTCCTGCTGTTGTTTTGTCCCAGACAATGGCAACTCGCACAGAAAGCTTCTGTGCTTAATTTCTTACTGTGAGACGTGTGTTGTGTGTGGTGGACCTGAGCTCCTCGCAGAAGCGTGGGCTACAGGTCAGGGAGCCAGTTTCCCCATAGACTCTCCTATGCAGCGGGAAGGTCTTGGCCAGTGCTAACCTACCAACTGTGAGTTGTGCCATAAACCATCTCAACGTTCGCATCTGTGCATTTTGTTTTTAAGCCTGGGTAGGAAGAGATCCTTGCGCGGAGAGGAGAGAGCAGTTTGTAAGGCAGGTCTTGGCTGTAGGCAAAACATGCCCCTTGCTCTCTGGCAATGAAGAAGAACTCTAGAGATTCTTCTCTTCCAGCCCTCAGCAGCAACTCTGTCAGGATCAACTTGTCTAGCAAAACTGCCTTTGCATCTTCTGCAGGTCTCGGTTTGTAAATGTTTGTGCGCGTGCTGTACCGGGGAAGATTCAGCCCCCTTCCAAGGAGAAGTTCCTGTCATTGCCTGATTTCACGGACTGCGAGAAGCTTTTATTCTCACTCTCACAGGGGTTTTCGCCATCTCTGGCTCTTGAGTGTTCCCTCAAGCCGTGTGAGAGCAGAGTCTCCAGCTGGGAATTTGAGCAGAAGGTTATGTCACTCTCAGGATTCATTCCTGTCTCTTTGGATAGAGATTTTTCAAACCTCTGGGAATTAGAAAGTGATTTGGGGCACTTTTTTCTTTCTTTCCTACTGCTTTGTCAGTAGTAGAAAACCTGTCTGTGTCAGAAGAGAGGATCTGAAGGGCTATTACCATTCTGGTGAATAAGCTATAAAAAGTTTTCTGAGCAGCCTATTAGCTGTGTCCCTGTCTCTGTCAGCAGAGGGAAGAGTTGTCTCGGGTCTCACCCCACCATATCTCATCATTGACTTGTGGGCAGAGAGGTGACCTGAGGCTGAAACTGGGCTTCTCAGCCTTTTGCTGCGGCCGCTGAGCTGTACGCGGAAGAAAAACGTGCACTTAATCTTGGAGGCAGAAGTTTCAAGCTTGGTTATGCAGGTTTCTGGGATACCTAAAGACATTAGGAGTCTGACTGGCATTGGAGTGGCCAATTTATTTTGGAGTTGACTGTTAGGCTGCTCCAGCCAATATGTTAGCTGCTTTGTATTGCTCCCTAGTATAGCCTAAAGGGATGAGAGAGGTCCCCTTGGGCAGCTGTTTGATAGCTTGTCCCTAAAGCCAGCTCTGCATCATGTAAATGGATCCATAGTTTTGAGTTGTGGTTTCCTTCTTTCTTTCACGTCCCAGTCACCGGGGGGGCGGGCAGGGGGGAATCCTGAAGTTTCACATAGCTGTCTTAATAATCTTTGCTTTCTTTTTTAACATGAGATTGAAAATCCAGTCTATACTGAATGCACTACAAGCACTTGATCCGAGCCCTGAGTCACCGTCTCTAAAGTACAGAGGCTGACTCTCTGTAACTTGCTGTGTCCGGTTGGCTGAAGCATAAAGCACGCGTAAGCATGATTCACTAATGTGTCATAAAATTATTTTAGAAGCTGTAACCTGCTGCTTTAGTTGCCCTTTATGTCAGGAGTCTGCTGGGGAGTGCAAACGCGTGGATAGCAGAAGACAGGAGTGTTGTGCGCAGTGTTGATCACAGGTCTGCTTAGCCACTTGTGCAAGATCCTCTTGGCTGGCTGTTGGCGCATGTTGTGCATCTGCTGTTCTCTGGGCTGGGGCAGTTCCTCCACTTGTAGCTTGTCACTTCCAAACTTTCAGTGGCAGCGTTAAGTCCCTTCTGAACACGAGACCTGGCTGACTGGAGAGAAGGGCTTTGCAGAGGCTGGATGTGCTGCAGTAGCTTTGCACAGATCAGCTTTGCCCTTGCGGAAGCTTCTTTTTATTTATAGTGTACCTGATTGGCCTCAAAATGTCAGAATGCACTAGTCCCAATTAAAGGCCAAGCCGCTGGTACATCGTGGCTTTATTCCGTCTAGAGCCAAGATAGCAAAAGCAGCAAATTCTTATTAATGCTTCTCCTTTTTCCTCTCTTCTCACCTTCCACTCCTCAAAGCCTGGTAGGCTTTTGTGGCATTTCAGAAGAAAATTCCCTCTGATTTGGCTTGCGGAATGAGGAAAGTTGGCAAGACAGCAAAGCTGGAGAGAGGGACGCTTAGTGCTCTGGGTGCCCCTGTGCCTATATGGGGTCCTCTGTGCGTGGTTATATCAGTGCTTACAGGGAGAGGCAGAATAAGGCCGTGAGGAGTATTAACTTGCAGCTCTGAAGGCTTTGAGAAACGGGAACGAACAAGAGGAGAATTTTATGTGTTGGCGGCGTCTATAGGTGAGTTATTAAACTGGGCAGGATTAGCAGTGCTGCCAGATTTCGTGGAAGGCAGTTCAGATCCGTGCATTGCCGGTCATGGCCGAGGGGGATCTGACCCCTGTTGATACCTGTAGGGAAGTGGTGGTGACAGTGGAGTGTTTTGCTGTACTCGTTCATGTTTGGTGTAGGCTGTACCACCTCCCTGCGCAGGATGTTTTGGTGCATAGCCCACTTGTTTCCTGAACCCGAGCTGTCAGCTTGCTGGGGTATTTCTCTGAGTTGTGGATGGGGATAGTGTGTGGTGGGGTCTTGCAGATGGTGATAAATGTCTGACTACTGCTGATGTGACTTTGCCTTGTTTGCTTTCTGTAGATAACCTTGGAGGCAATTAACATATTCCTTGATCCCAGGTGGGTGGAAAGCATCAGCGAAGATGGAAAATAACTCGTCGGTGGTAGGGAATGCTCTCTTGGCACAAGCGTTTTGGAATAAATGAGCAAAGTGCTGCAGTTATGTTGCAGAGCATCATTGCCCTAATAGCTGCTGGAGGACCTGAATGGGGGCTTAATTCTAGCTCAGGAGCAGTAAGCAAGTGACTTAGATGCTCAGACTGTGTTGTGCTCCTAGATTGCACTTTCTGAATGTCAAAACGCATGGGTTTGGCCAGCTGGGGAACAGAAGCATCAGAGATCCGCCTCCAGCTGGTTTGTTTGTTTGTGTTGGGCCTGATTTCATAACTATAAATATGCTGTGATCAGGCTTTGTTGCTACAGAAGACTTGCTGCAGTCCAGACAGACTTGTCAGATTCTTTTTTTGACTGAGGAGGTGGAGGGACAGAATTATATGTAATCTTGGGTATCAGCTTTCCTCTGCAGTGACTGTTGAATCTGGAGCAAGTGGTGTAGTACTGCTGTGGCTGTCCTGGAGTGGGAGAGTAGAGGTTGGATTGCAATTAATTACAAAACTATTACTGGGGAGAAGACGAATTCATGCTTGGAGATGCAAACTACCAGAAAAAAAATGTAGCTGGCTCAATGTTTACTTTTGCAGAAGGATGACTTTTTATTGCTTTTTATTAATTGAAGAGTAGTGGAACGTAATACAAGTTTTGGGTGTTGTGTGGAAATGGGTTGTATAATCTCAGCTCGTTTAGTTTAGGAAATGATAATATATTAACTTTGTCTTGTAGCTGGTTGCTCACATGGCCAATAATTTTCTGTTATGTTCAGCTGCCAAAGGATTGCACGCTGGCCTTCGCAATGCAGGCCAGACGGACAGCATAAGTCACCAGTTGGACAGTGAAATAGTTGCGATGTGTGTGATCAGGCTGTGGAGTGGAAGATAAGTTATCAACATGTGAGTGCCATTCACATTTTCTGTGTTCAATTAAAATGTATGATTCTGGCTTTTGTTTGGATAGAGGTCTCCCTTTAATTTTTGAGGAAAAGAGCACTCGGTTCAATTGTGTTCATTAGTTTAATTAAAGCAACTGCCTCTCTTTTTTTAACATGGCACTGACTGACTAATCTGGGCATCTCCAGCAGGCTTTGGGTGTAAATAAGTGTTCATAAAAAGCCCTGGGGTACTTTATTTTCATTATTATTAAAAGTGAAGGTGAGACACCAGATCCCTGCTTCTTGCAGAGGGTAGCACAGAGGGGAAAGGTGAGCTTTTCTTTCTGAAATGCCATTTGACATTGAACACCTCAGTCTGATGCCACAACCATCAGTGTGGAACAAGATAATTGTAGTTTAAACAACTTGCCTACCCTGTCTGTTCCCCCGTCTGAGGGACGGGGTTTTGCCTCTTTGTTTGTGGGTTTGAGAGGCACGGGCTGGCTCTATAAAAGCCAGACGTGACTCTGCAACACTTGGCCTACTGCATCCCAGGTATCAATTAACTGAACAAAGTTTGTGTGTTACTTTTCCACCTGATCATTGTTACCCAAGGAGCCTTTTCCAATTTCAAATAATAAAAACGAAAGTTTTGTGAACTTACTCCTGTTTGCTTTTTTTCTTTTCCAAAGAAAAGCGGCGGGTAATATTCCACCCTTCTGATGTGCAGTGGCCTGTCTTCCACCTTGTGATGAGAATTAATTTTCCCTCATTCTGGTACTTGGTGAGCAGTAGATCTAATTTCCTACAGCCGTGAGACACACATCCCCGAAACTCTCACGTGCTGCAAAACCTCAACTCTTCCCTGGTCTGTGTTGTTGGGTCTGCCACGCACAGCTCCTGCCCTGGGGTGCGCAGCGCTAGCGCTCCGCTCTCTCCCGCAGCCTCTTGGTGCTGCTTGTGGAGGCAGCAGGGAACGCTGGGGCCAGCTCTGAGCCGTGTCTGCTGACTGGCCGCCCTGCCTTGGTCTAATGACCTGTGCCCTGCTGAAATCTTTCTGTCCTCCCAGCTAACTTTCTTTCTGAAATGAAGGATGTGGTAATGCTCAAACTTCTATCCCTCATTCCACTTGGGCTGAAGAGATCAGCTGGTCCAAACCTAATGGGAGGGATGGGGAGGGGGAGGCAGGCAGCAGGATGGTGCAAGCCCCCCTTCTTTATGGAAACAGCCTAAGAATCATACATACTTCTTATCCCTTTTTCCACATTTGGTTCCCTTCTGTCTCAACATTCACACCCACCTCACTCAGACTTGAGTTTCTCTCGCTGCTTTTCCTGATGAGTGAGTGTGTTGAAATTGGAGAAGTTGGATTTACCATTGTGGCTTGGGCTCAGCTGCCACTGAGGAGTGGTTTGTCCTTGCGCAGCAGGCCCTGTGTCTGGTCGTGTGCCAGGACGTACAGAGGAGTCCCGAGCTCCGTGTGAATGGCTGGGCCAAGGTAAACCTGAGTCCTGCCTTGAGCAGCTTTATTGGACTGGATGTTGCACTTCCAGTTATGCAATCCAGTTCTGCCAGTTGCAGTTTGTTGGCAGAGTATTATTTTTGAGAGCAAACCTTGGACACTGAGCACCCTAACTATGGACTCTCAAAGTTCACATGTGGGCTCTTGGTCAGAAAATGGCTCTGCCTTCTCAATGCTGGTAGTTAATCAAGGCCAGAGTGCACTATAATGAGTCCTTGAGAGCAGTCACCTGTGAATGTGTGACCTCTTCAGTTTCCCCTTTTTTCTTTACCACCAAG